TTAAAAAAAGAGGGGGGGGGGGGGGAAATCGTCCAGGATCGGAGCCTTGCGAAATATGGGAAACGCAATTTTCCCTAAAAAGCCGTACTCAATGAGCCGGAATTGCGCTTTCCATAATCTTTAAATATGGGAGATGCAATCCCCGACGACTGCCCCAAACATACCTTGCACGGGAAACGCGATTGTCCCGTAATTCGACTTCCGAATTATGGGAAACGCAATTTCCGAGGAAAAGCCATACCCAAGCGGCCAGAATTGCGTTTCCCATAATTCCGCATTATGGGAAACGCAATTCTGGCCCGTGCAGTGCGGCTTTTCAAAGGCAATTGCGTTTCCCATAATTCGGAATTCGATATGGGGAACGCAACTCTGGCCCATTGAGTGTGGTTTCTCTCAGGAAATTGCGTTTCCCATAAGTCTGGCCCATTGAATGCGGTTTTCCCAAAAGAAATTGCGTTTCGCATAGTTCGGAATTTCGAATTCTTGGAAACGTAATTTCCTGTGAAAAAAACGCGCTCAATGGGCCAGAGTTGCGTTCCCATAGTTCAAAATTATGGGAAACGCAATTCTGGCCCATCGAGTTTGGTTTTTCAACGGGAATTGAGTTTCCCATAAATCGGGATTCTAAACATTCGAATTCCGATTCATGGGAAACGCAATTTTCCTTGCGTTTCCCGTAACTCGGAATTCGAATTATGGGAAACGCGCTTCCCGCGCAATGTGTCCTTGGGGCAGTCGTCCGGGGTTGCGTTTTCCATACTTCGCCCGTTTCAAATTGTTGAATTATAAGAAACACAAACCCGGACGGCAGCCGGGGGGACGGTTTCAAACCCCCCCTCCCCCCCCCGAGCGCCAGGGCGGGTTCAACCCCCCCCCCTTGCGCTGGCGCCCGCGCTTGCGGCGGCCAGCAGCGCCAGCGCTGGCGCCGGCGACGGCGGGGACGCAGCGACGATTACCACCTTACCACCACAGCCATGACCACCACCCCACCGCCTCAACCCACCACCACCACCACTACCACCACCAACCACCACGCAACCACCACCACCACAGCCACCACCACCACAACCACCACCACAACCCACCACCACTACCACCACAACCACCACAACCACCACCACAATCTACCACACCACCACCATCACCGCCACAACCACCACCACTACTAGCAGCCCGACCCACCGCCACCACCACAAACCATCACACCACCACCACCACCACCGCCACCAACACCACCACCAACACCACGTCCACAAACCACCGCCACCACCGCAACCCACCACCACCACCACCCCCACCACCACAAACCTCCACCACACCACCACCACACCACCACAACCACCACCACCACAACTCACCATCATCACCACCACCACAAAAACCTACCACCACTACCACCACCACCTTGATCTACCACACCACCACCACCATCGTTGCCACAACCACCACCACTAGTAGCAGCAAATCCCACCGCCAGTACCACAAACCACCACACCACCACCAGCACCACCGCCATCACATCCACCACCAGCACCACCGCCACAAACCACCGCCACCAACACAATCCACCACCACCATAACCACAAAGCACCACCACACCACCACAAAACGACCACCACCACAACCCACCACCACCACCACAAACCACCACGACACTACCACCAAACCACCACTACCATTACCACCCATCACCACAACGACCACCATCACAACAAACCACCACACCACCACCACCACCACAACCACGACCACCGCCACCACCACCACCACCACCACCACAAACCACCACCACCATCACCACCACCACCACCACCACCACCACCACCGTCGGTTTCGTCGACGCTCCCCGCCGCCGCCGCTCGCCGCCGCAGGCGCCGGCGCCCGAAGAGAGGGCAGGGGAAGCAGGGGAGGAATGGAAAGGGGGGGGGGAGGGTTCGAAGCCCCCCCCCCTCCCCATCCGTCACGTGAGGGGGGGGGTCGACCCCCCCCCCCTTCCATCCAGGGAGGGGGTCCAGTTTCACCCCCTCCCCCTCCAAGCGACCACAGAACGCGTTCTTTCTCAACTCGACGTGTGGGTGATAGAAATGATTTTCGGGGATAGTGAACACCCGGGGAAAAAAGCAGGGAGGACGGAAGGGGGGGAGGGCAAGCTATATGCGCTCGCGTCATATCTGACATCCTACCCCTCCCTCCCATCCCTTGCCATGGCGCTGATTTTCTCTATCCGCGGACGCGTGTCGTAGCGGACCTGTGGCTCCGCGCGCGCGTGCGTAGTGGGTGGTGGTGCGCGTGCGTGCGTGCGTGTGTGTGGTTGTGGTTGTGGTTGTGGTTGTGGTTGTGGTTGTGGTTGTGGTTGTGGTTGTGGTTGTGGTTGTGGTGGAGGTGGAGGTGGAGGTGGAGGTGGAGGTGGGTGGTGGTGGTGGTGGTGGTGGTGGTGGTGGTGGTGGTGGTGGTGGTGGTGGTGGTGGTGGTGGTGGTGGTGGTGGTGGTGGTGGTGGTGGTGGTGGTGGTGGTGGTGGTGGTGGTGGTGGTGGTGGTGGTGGTGGTGGTGGTGGTGGTGGTGGTGGTGGTGGTGTGTGGTGGTGTGTGTGTGTGTGCGTGTGTGCGTGTGCTGTGGTGTGACGTGGTGTGGCGTCTTGGTGGTTTGGTGGTGGGCCAGGTGCGTGCGTGAGTGATGGCGGTGGTGGTGGTGGCGGTGGTGGTGGTGGTGGTGTGTGTGTGTGTGTGTGTGTGCGTGTGTGTGTGTGTGTGTGCGTGCGTGTGTGTCTGTGTGCGCGCGCGTGTGATGTGGTGTGACGCGGTGTAGCGTGGTGGTGGTGGGTGGGGTAGTGGGGTGGTGGTGGCGGTGCGCGTGCGTGCGTGCGTGCGTGCGTTGGTGGGTGGAAGTGGCGGTGGGCGGGGCGGGGCGCGGTGCGGTGGTGGCGGGCGGATGGGCGCGCGAGAAAGAGGCCCGCGCTGGGGCGAGAACGCCATCCTGAACGACGGAGGCAAAACACCGATCCGAAAATGAGACCCACGCTGCAGCGGGAGCACGATTCGGAACGAGCGGGGCCCGAAAATGAGGCCGGCGCCTCAGCGAGAGCAGCATTTTGGAAAAAAATGCAAGCGAAAACCCAACTCCGGGGAAACCTGTGTAAAAAACGATACGCGGGGGGGGGGCGGTTACTCCCAAGACGTCATCAGGGGAAGAGGGAGAGTAGGATTCATATTGAGTAATTGTGGAGGGGAAGGAAGGAGCGCGAGGAAGCGCAGTAGGGAGAAGGGGGAGGAGGAGGAGGAGGTGGAGGAGGTGGAGGAGGAGGAGGAGAAGGGGGCAGGAGGAGAAGAGGGGTGTGCCACATTGGGGTTCTTCGGCCTACGAGAGGCACGACACCTGAGAAATGTATGGTGCAACGGTACCCTGATGATGAAGATGATAACTAATGCTGACGGTGGCGGTAATGGTATCAATGTTAAGAGAATCCCATCTACAATTCGAACTTTCCGTGATAAAGAAGTTCGGCCCCACCGCCCCCCACCGAGTTTGAAACATTTCAGGCCCAGAGATTATCAAGACTAGAGAGAGGGTAAAGGGGGGGATGCTTCATTATCCGCGGCATGTGGTCAAGGAAGCTGGGGATGAGATGGAGGCGGGGGAGGAAGGAGAGGAGGGCCTGATGGAGGGGGGGGGGGAGGACGAGGAGGGGGAGGTGAAAGAGGGAAATGGGTGGGCAGGAGTGAGAAGAGGTCTGGGAAGAAAGGGCGGGAGGAGACCTTGGGGGAGGGGGAGGATCAGGGAGAAAAAAGTGAGGCTCCGCACAGGGAGCGCCCGCTGGGGGGGGGGGGGAGGGGGGAAACGTCCTTGGAGAGGTCCTCGGGCGAGGGCAGCTCCTGAACAACGGAGGCCAGGTTCGAGCAAACACCGGCGGCCCCCCCGCGAATTTCTCCTCCCGTTACAGCGAGGTGAACAGTGTGGGGCGTTGGCAAAACTCTGCTCAGGACCCAGCTCGATGTTATATCCGTGATGCGTCCTTCCAGAAATTGGTCATCGCAACATCCTCATCCTCGTCCTGATATCCTCCTCGATCCCTCAAGCCTTGGCGTGTGTCACTTGCCTCCCAAGGCGTCCACGCCGGGACTCGGGCCCAAGGGGCCTCAGGCGTCGGCCCGGCTCGCAATTTTGCACGCAGCTGTACTTTTTCGGGGCGTCGAATCTCCTGGTCCTCCTCGTCCTCCCCGATCTTCCTCGATCCTAGTACCTTCTCCTCCTCCTCCTCCTCCTCCTGCTGCTCGATCATCTCAGGGTCCTCCTCCTCGTCGGCCCTCGAAGACCAAACTGTGAGATTCGGAAGGCCACCACAAGGCCACAAGGGGCCTCCGGGAACCTCTAGAGAACTCCTCCTCCTCCATCTCTTCCATCCTCCACTTGCTCCTCCTGCCCCTTATCCTCATGCTCAACCCTTCTCCTGCGCCTCCTACTTTTCCTCGTCTTCCCTCTACTCCCCGTAAAGAACCATATTGAATGATTCAAGAGCCCAAAGGTTTCACGGAGCATCTGGGAAACTCATCCTGCTGCTGCCTCTGCCGCATATTCCTCCTGCTCCCTCCTCCTCCCGTTCATCTTCTTCCTCCTTCCCTTCGTCTTCCTCATTATCATCCTCATCGTGGTGCCCCCTGCCTCCTGCTCCTCGGCCCGAATGCTCACTCACTGGTGGGGCACCCTGGCGTACTGTAGACGTTTGCTAGGGCTGTGACGGCAGTCCTTGAACGGTCTGCAGAGAGGCGGCATTCTTCTCGTCCCCGTCGCCGTTTACCGTCGTCCCTCCTCTTCCCGAAGCTCAACTCAAGCTTCATGCCTCTGGCTCGCTGCTCATATGCACTTGCAACCAGCATCGCACACGGCTCTCAACGAGCGCGCGCGGAGAGACAATGCGACTGAAGCGGAGAAGGATGATGACGGCACCGAACAAACTCGAACAATTCCATGTCACCCTCTTGCCTTGCTTGGTCCTCATTCAAGACTAAGGCTTGCGAACAGGCAAAGCTCGAGGTGGATCAACGAGAGGGATGGCTGAGGCGGAATCCTGCAGCTTGACTGTCTTCACCAATGCGTGCTCGAATTCCTGGCGGGGGGCGACGGCGGCACGTTCGCGACAACGGCTGCCCGACTAGCGCGAAAAAATACTTTCCGTACTGCTCCCTTGGAGGGGAATGTGACCCGCGCCACGCACCATGCTGTCATCCATCTTCTTCCGTGTCCTTCGTCCCCCTGTCATCCTCCTCAGCAATTTCATCCTTCCTGCCGCCCTTCGTGGATTATCATGCCCATCCTCCTCGTTGTTCTTCTCATGCCCATCCTCGAGCAAAAGGTCAGCGCTAAACATTGGCGCGGCAAGAATCTGCAATCACAACGAAGCACTGGCACGTGTGGATTCAAGAGCGATCCATAACATTAGAGTCAGAAGGTATGAACATGTGACATTGCATTCGCGAGCGACAGAAATGCTGAACAGCAACTGATGCGCAACATTGGCAACAAAAACATCGAACGCCACAATTCTCTCCATGGCGTGAGCGTAACTGCCTGAAAGGCTTTGGAGGTCTCATAAGACCGATCTCTCCCATCGCCTCAGCGTAGCCGTTGCCTGGCAGAAGGTTATCTTGGTTTCTGGGGCCGGCTCCCCTCACACCACGTACCCCTCAAAACCACCCCCAATGAAATGGCTTTCTGGCGTTCTTCCCGCCTCCACACCACAAGGATGCTTCCAAAAACGGCGTCCAAAACAACCAAACCAAAGTGACACCAAGACGGCCCACGGAGCTTCAAATACTGCCCAAACGGGCTCCAAGTGGAATTTCCAGGAGCGCCCAAGGTAGCAGCACCCACTGATGGGCCTTCGGTGCTTGAAGGATGTCGAGGTTCTCGCCTTGTTCGGTTTGCGACCGGCCCAAGATGTCCCCAATATGAACGGAAGGCAGCCCAAGAGCCCCCCAAGCGGCCAAAGAGGACCCGCAGATCACCCAAGAGGCCCAAGAGGCTCGCAAGAGGGCCCCTACGACGGCCTTCAAGCGCTGCATCCAAGAGGGCCACAATGGCCCAGAGGGGCCCCCAAGACTGCCCCCGAAGACGTCAGACGGGCCGAGCGCCCTCCTAAGCCGACCCAGGAGACTCAAAAGGCTGAAAGAGGTTCCCGAGATGCCCTCAGGAGACTCCCAGGACGTGCCTAAAAGGTCTCAATAGGTCTTCCCCTCCTCGTCTCCATGTTCAACCTCTCCTTCTCCTCCTTCTCCTCCTCCTCCTCCTACGAACTACCGCGCAGACGAAAATGAGGCCGAGATCGCGACCATCACCAACTCAATCCGTTCGCTTCATTGCCGCGGGGCGTGGCATCGACCTCTCTCCTACACGAGCCGTCGCAAGTCAGACCATAAGCGGAACTGCGATGTTCCTTCACTCAGACTCCGTCCTGCTGCGCTGTTGCACGAGCACGCTGACGGGGCTTGCCGCAGGCAGCTGGATATCCGTGGGGTGATGAGTGGTGTCAACAACAAATGGCACTGGAAGGCGCACTGGCAATGGGACGGTAACGGACCGGGGAGGTAATGGGGTTGGAGTGGAGCGAGGAGTGGGTACTGGAAAATGAAGCGAGGTCGACACTCGTGCGCTACCTGTCATGTGACCGAGATTAAAAAAAAAAACTGGCAACCACGGATCAGTATTGATTATGAATCTGTTTAACTGGTCGGACTGCTGCCGAACCTTGGTTGAAACGCGGGGTTGGGACGCATCGCGCGGGGTGAACACATTCTCCGCGAAAACAAGGCGAGGAGATTTCATCTGCCTAAGACAGCTGGACAAATTACGCATCCCAATGGTTCAACGCATTGTATCCTCAGCGTGAATGCAGCCTTCCTGTTTGTGCAGTTCGAGAACGAAAATAAGAAAATGCAGATCCAATATAATTGAGCTTGTGCCGCTGCTAGCAATGCAAACGGCACAGTCTGCTGCAGACGGCCTGCAACATTGCATCGCCGAAGGAACAGCGATGTTGCGAAACCAGATGCAAGAAACACAACATCACTGGCCAAAACCACAGGTAACACAAAACCGCACACACACATACACTTTGGAATGGCGACTACGCTCTCATAGGCCAATAAGATGGAACTGGATTAGGTTACCGTGGGATTGGCCATTGACCTTGCATTCTGGACACGATGTGGCGTATGTCTCGTGCGTCTTTTTCTCAATGGCGTGGGCACTGTCCACTCCACTCTCTCTGCCACTCGAAATAACATACACCCGAGTAGAGCAGCACCCCGAAGGACGGCGGGGTCTCTAATCATGATCGGACCATGTATCCTTCTGGCATTGCGTCAATCATGCCTGCGAAAGAAACACAAAAAGCGCTTAGCATCCTGGCTGCGGGGCAGCCAAAGATCGGCCCGACTGGCATCACAACTACGTGCTGGCCCTTCTTCCGCACTTCACTCTACCAGTCAGCGAACAGTGAACAGCGCAACCAATGTCTCAGGCAAGCGCACGCACAGGTAAGGAGAGTGACAAGTGCGAGCGAGATCGCCTCAGTATGACCTCTCTGCCACCCCCGACCCCTGCCCTCATGCCCCCCCTCATTCCTCCCTTGTTCGCCAAGCCTAAGACTCCTTCCTCCCTCTCCCCCCATCCTCCCTCACTCCCTCTCGTTCCTCCCTTCACCATCCTCCCTCTTTCGGTTTTCCAAGGGCTCCCAACTTCGCGCTTCGCGCTGCGCGAAGCGCGAAGTGCGAATAAGTTGGCGCTCTCGCGCCGCCTCCCAGGGGAGAAGAGGAAAATGAGGAAGAATCGGAGCCAAACCGCGAAGCGCGAATAACTTCGCGCCCTCGAGGGCGCCCTTGGTCTCCTCACTCTTCCTGATCCTCCCTCTTGCCCCTCCCCCCCCCGCCGCCGCCTGCAACCCACCCGGCCTCGGCGGCGCCGCTTCTGCCGCCAACCTCACCCCTCACTCACAGAACAAACCAAGCTTACACTCACAACACATACAACACTGACAACAATAACAACAAACATCAGACAACAAACAGCACACAACACACAACAATACCAACAACAACACCAATAACAACACACACACCATCACCAACAACACCCACAACAACAATACATTAACGACTGTTCGTTCTCATCCACTCGCGTGCCATCACACACGTATACCCCGAACCCTCGATACCCGCGCTCTCCGACCGTACCCCCCTGGAGGTATATCTGTCTTACCTGCCACGTGTAGTTCGTGCAGCCCTTGAGGCAGGGGAAGAGAGGACGGATGGACGGAAGGACAAGGGGGAGAGAGGAGGATGGGGCACGAGAGAGACGAGGAGGGGGGCTAGAAGCAGAGAACACGTGGCAAGAACCATACGGCAGATCGGGCGGGTAGACCCTACCAGGCGGGTCGGGAAGGAGGGCCCAGGCGGCCAGGTCGAGCAGGCGGGTTGCTCAAGCGTGCGTCCTCCACGAATCGCGAGCAAGTCTCGAGCGACAGCTCGATTCCCAAATCAATCGTGAGGAAATCCACAGCGAGAACGTGACTCCAGAATGTCCAGGGAGCGGCGTCTGAATCAATTGCGAGGAAGTCCTACGCGAGAGCGCGATCCCTGAATAAATTGTGAGGGAGCCCCACACTGTGAGGAAATATGACGCGGGAGCCGTTGTTGTAGTTCGGGGCCAACAACGCAGTTAGAGGAAGAACATCTCCCTTGATAACACCCAAACAAACATAGTACGGGACCAAGGAAAGGCACTTAAATTGAAAACCGTATGTTAGCCGCGAGGGGATCAACTACACTAATTGTTTTAACATGACAGTTCAACAACAGCAGCAGTACCAGCAGCAACACCACCAACAACAGCGAAAGTAATGTCAGCAACAGCAAAGACAAAAACAAACACAACAAGCACTGACAAAACAAACGCAGTAAAGACGACGACGATGTCGACGACGACGACGACGACGACAGCACCGCCGTGCTGTCGTGGGTCCGGCGGTCACCCCTGGCGGCGCCACTGGCGCCGCTTCCCGACGCCCCCTGCGCCAGGGGAGGCCTGCGCGGAGAGGGCGCCCGGTTCTCACCCAAGACAGCCGCGCAGACCTCCGAGCGATGATGTCTCAACTCACAACTTCCAGGGGTATGCCGCGATGAGCCCCCGCCCCCCGAATGGAAACGACCAATTTGTTCGACGTCCTTGGGACGGGGAGGAGGAGGGGCAGGAGGAGAAGCAGGGGCAGGTTTGTTCTCCGCCGAATGAAGCAAAACTAAAGACCAACTGAGGTTATTGTCGGGTCACTGTCCATGGTGCGATACGGGGATTATTCCATAACCATCGCCTGGGGGATCGTTCTTCGGGGACACCAGCAGGCGATGGATAAAGATATGGAAACTAGATTTGTTATATATATATATATATATATATATATGTATGTGTTTCTGAATAGTTACACTGTTATTCACGTTTAGTGCACACATTTGTATATGTATACACACACACACCCCAAAGAGTGGTTGCACTGAGGGGTTCTTGCATTTGGTTCGGAAGGAACTGGGCCAGGCTGTCGCTCCGGCGGTTCCGCGGTCGCCGTCGCCGCCCGGCTCGCCGCTTCGTCGGCGCAAGAAGGACTGCACCACGTAGATTGCACCGCGTGCAATGCACCACACAGTTTGGCCAACAGATTTTGCCACGCAGGGGTTGCAGCACATAGATTGTACCACGTAAGTTGGTCCACCGTCGACATAGGTTGTCCCAGATGGGCTGCACCACGCAATGTGCACCACATGTACTGCAAAATTGATATTGCCAAACACCTGTTGTTTGAGGCCTGCGCTGGGTATGCACGTGTATGTAAATATACACACATCGGCAACTACATGTGTATACATATATCAGCATACGGAATTACACATACATGCAGATATGCATTCCCCGCTGACTGGCCCTGCCATGCGCGAAGCGCCTAGCCATGTGCAGAGGCTTTCCGTTTTTCTCGAGAGAACAGTCGCCGCAAACACTGAGAACGAGTATCTCGAAAATAATCGCGATTCAGACAATTCTCACCACGCAGGCCGAGGAGGC